ATTCAGTCTGAAGCGCATGCCACAAGCATTTCTCCTAGCGAAACGAATCTTACATGCAGACAAGTAATACCTTTCAGTCAAAGACTTTTGGCGACCAGACATGTTGGTTATGCAGCGCGCCTTTCGGCCAAGGTTACATGCGATTCGGAATTAACCGTACCAAAGTTAGCATTGAGTTGTCAGGACTGCGGATGTCCTAACAGTGATGATAGCGTGCTCGTACGGATATTCGCTAGTGGTCAGCAAGATGTCTTCGTGCATGCAGTGACCTTGACTCCTAGGGCTTATAAAGTAAATTAGCAATGGTTTGTAGTGGCTGGAAAAGGCGTTTTGTTTTAATGCGTCAAAATGCCTGACGTTAAACTTGGACAGGAATTTCAATACCAATTTGTCACCAAATTGTATTCTCGTGGCCACTTTGTTACTTCTAATTCTGCTCGTCAATACACCCGTGCATATTTATCCAAACATTAACCGGTTTATTAAAAACATTCGTGACTCCGTATCGTTCCGTTTCTAACTATTTCCACTTTGATTCATCCCCGCCCTTCTCTTCATTGATCACATTATTTTAGCCTGACCTTATTGGCTATGCCCTCTGCCTAACATTTTCAACCAACACAAGAGCTATCCTTCACTCTCAGTATCAATTCGCCAGTCATTTACTAAAATTATCCGACCTCAAGTACAAGGACATCGTTTACTCAAGTCCAACGACTCCACCTGCCAGCGAACTGAAAACCGACATTCATATATTTGATCTTCCTTGACCGTGCGGACTGATGATATTGCATTGTGGCTGCGCGTTGTGGAACGGCGTCTCGCCCTGCGCTAGACTTACAGGGGAGGATACGAAATTTCATTGTGCTGCAGAAACACTGCCAATGGATATCGATACGGACCTTCGCGATATTGTAGATTGTCCGCCCACAGAAGCCCTGAATGCGGCCTTAAATTATGCATTCATCTGCCGCATTTCCCAATCAACGCAAAGACGTCTGCATCGCTTGATTCCGAAGAGGACCTTGGTGGCAGGAAGTCTACGCTGCTCCACGATGGCATGATGGCGCGAATAAAGAACAATGAAACAGTCTCAGAGGCATTCACAATGACCAACGGAATGAAGCAGGGCTGCATGCTCGCGCCCACTCTACTCAGCCTTACGTTCTTTGAAGAAGCAGACACGATTGCCGGGATCGTGTCTCCTTCTTCAAGACTACTACCTGGGACTCGGCTCTTCGCTTCTTACTTTCTTTGCCTACCGTGACGAACGCCCTGGGATCCGCATCGCCTACAGGACGGACGGCCAACTCCTCAATGCACTTCCAGTCGCATGTATCCACAACTACCGTCCATGAACTTCTCTTCGCGGAAGATTGTGCTCTCAACGCGACCACATAAAGGGGCATGGATCTCATCGCCGTCGCCGCCGCCGCCGCCTGCGACAACTTAGGCCTGTTCATCAACACGCAGAAAACGGTGGTTATACATCAACCGTCACCCACGGCTGTCTACGTCGCACCCCAAATCAACCTGAACGGAGCCCAACTGCAAGTCGTGGACAACTTCGCCTATATTGGAAGCACACTCTCGCGCAACACAAACATCGAGGACGAGGTTGCCCGTCTGCTGTCCAAAGCCAGGCTGTAAGCTTCCGTGTGGAATCGCCACGGTCGCCAAATGAGCAGCAAACTCAAGATGTACAAGCGGTCGTCTTGACAGCACTTCTGTACGGAACGGAGACCTGGACTGTCTACGCCAGCCATGCGGGGAAGTTTAACCACCGGGCTCCGTTCTCCTGGTCGCCAGTCTGGTTGTTATCTCATGACGCCTTCTGTCAGCTTAACTAACACCTCCTGCCAGTTGCAACGCACGTGACATGGCCACGTCGTGGAGACAGCTTGAGACCAATCGGCGATGTGTCATTTGCTGATCGGGATTGTAGGCGGACAAAGGTCATGTGTGCACGCACGCACGCACGCACCTCGGCGCACATCCAAAGGTTGGGCCTCGCCTCGCTGAAACAATTCTCGCCACTGCCTTCCATTCAGCTTCTGCAGCCCCCGTCACATGCTGTGTCTCAATCGTCTGTTTCCACAGCAATCAACACCTCCTTCATTTCCATGTGCGTACCTCTGGGTACAACCATTCCATTGTGCGGTTAGCTGACCATGCCCACTATCAAAAATGCATGCTCCAACTCCTGGCCATTATTATTACTTAGTCTTATTATTATTATTATTATTATTATTATTATTATTATTCAGTTGTGTCCCGCCAGGCGCACGAAATTTCTTGCACCCAAGCCAGAAAACACCGCCGTCCATACCATACTACCACATCTCTCTTCACCAGCATCTACTCTAAACATGACCACACTCAACACCACACCACGCTGGCACGTGATTGGCACATCTCTCCTCGAAAGCTGCAAGTGTTTCCCGGCTCCTTCTGCATGTGGCCCCTCTGGTGCATGTGTGATCCGAGCCTGAGACTGTCACGATGCGTTAAACTCCGTGATGACTTGCAAGACTGCCAACTACCGTTGGAACGCAGGCCTTGCATTTAGCCCAAGGTACGTTTGTGCTCAATGGTCGACTGGTGGACTGAGAGTCAGGCTGGAATGCCTCCTTCTCGACGTGACCTCTGACACTCTCTCACACACACTTGAAATGCATGTCGCCCACCCCCTTGTGTGTGAGATCCTGACGCTTGTGTCTGGGGAGGGGGGGGGGTGGTCAGGTCATGTGTGTGGCACGTCCAGGCAAAGCGGCTAGATTTATCGGTCATAGCGTCCACTCCCACCTGACCAGCTCGGAGTGCGATTGGGACTGAGGAAGTAAGACACATAACTAACACATTTCGGAACTTGATAGGAGACTATGCCTGCAGATTGCTGATAATTCATTGTTTCAGGGTGTCTTGTTGTTCACGTGTGATCCGAGTTGATCATCATCACCGACTTCGAGACACGATGCGATGGCTGTGTGATCATGACAGATACGGTTCCTGACCTATCTGATGATGAATAACCACAAACTGCGCACTCGAGTCCTTGTAACGCACGAACCACCCACCCTGCATCCACGAAGGTTACACTGGCTCGAACGAACGACCAACCTTCAAAAAAGGCAGAGTTTGGTTTCCGCCATCACCGACATGATCTTCGCCGCCCGTCAACTGCAGGAAAAGCGTCACGAGATGCCGACCTAGTTCTACTCCACCCTCGTGGATCTGATGAAAGACTTCGACATGGTGCATCGTGACAGACGGTGGAAAATTATGCAGAAAGTCGTCTGTCCCGAGCGATTCACTCAGATGGTGTGCCAGCTGAACGATGGCATGACGGCGCGAGTCACGGACAATAGAGCTGTCTCGGGGGCATTCGCTGAGAACAGCAGAGTGAATCAGGGCTGCGCTCTCAGACCTAGCCTCTTCCAACCCGTTGCGTGGGACTTTTCTAACAATCAGTATCACAGTTCTGCATGCGCAGATAGCGCGAACAGCAAGGGAGTTCCACCCTTTTCGAACTATCTCGGGTCCTCTGCTCAGGGCAATTGCGTCGGCAGTACCCACCCTATCCCCCTCCCTCTTCCCCACACACACACACACACACACGCACACACACACAGTAATCCGCTTATCTGCCACTCAGAATAAACGACAACAATCTCCGGGTCAGATCTCATTTCGTTGCCTTACCTGCAGTATACAGACCCCAGCCTAACCCCATTACCCTAACCCCAACTCCAAACCACAACCCTGATACCTAATCGCAGTCCCTAACCCTAACCTCCAACATGTACGGCTACGAAATAGGATCTTGCCCATCTCCGAGATACTTTGCGGTGAATCATTTTATTTTAGTGAATAGATTTAAGAAGAAAGTTTTCGACACAGGACTGAAAGAAATCAGCATGCAACTTGTGTGGCAGCTGCCAGCCAGCCTTCTGATCCGCGTCAGACCTGGCGGGCCAGAGGGTTGAACAGCAGCCCGAACAGGCGAGGAGAGCTGATTCAGTCGATTGACTTGTGGCATTCGGGTATCGCCTTGCCTCAGAGTGCCGGGATGCAATGTGCAGTAGTGGCATCCCGAGGAGACGCTGCGGCAGGCAGCGGAGATCGGCAGGACCCATACGGCGCATCTCTCTCGTCTCAACGTAGGCAGGCCAACTATCCCGCATGTACGCTCTACCATAGACAGCCTGCAGCGGAAGACGACGGCTGTCTGGCAAGAAGTCCACCGAACCGGGGGTGCCTCCCATAATCTGACCACCATTCCCCGATCCGTCCTCTGCGCCAATATCTTCCTCCAGCTCCCAGACCACCAAGCCCTCAATCGAGCCTGAATGCATGAATTAAGCTTCCTTCGCATGTCGGCGTACAATAAGCAGGTGGCAAATGGAAAAGACTTGGCAGTAGCACGCTGATCACACACACACGAAATAATAATGATTGCATTTCCCATCATTCCGCTTTCATGTTCAGGCAAAATTAATTGTCTAGGAGGGCATTCAGTGACCCATTGAAGTGAAAAATCGGTAGACAGGAGAAATCCCTTAAAATGTGGTAATTTGTGGAGGTATTTGGAATACTGGCCGAGTAGGTAAAACAGAGGGACTGGTGTTGACACTGGAGCATTCCTTACTAAAATAAAACTGGCACACTTAAATGTGCCATGACGAACTAGGAGTGGTAGCTTGACGGGGCACCTCGGTATTTCCCAGAACGGAAGGTCAGGCTGAAAGGGCTGTTTCTTGATGTGTCCTTTCAGGTTTTCCCAGTAGTCTGAGGTAAATTTGAACTAGTTTGGTTGCATTCACCGCGCTGTGTGCGTGTGTGTGTCTAAGGAGTACAGGTAATCAAGTCGTGAGGCCAGGCAACTGGCCATTTGACAGTGTCCACAATATGCGCATTCTAGAACAAATAAGCAAATGCGCCACCAGCAGCAGCAGCAGCAGAGTGAGCCACTTAAAATGTGACTGACCGTCCATATTCAACTACGATGCTGCTCGGATGGCTGACAGGGCGCCCTCTGACCAGCCGATGCAGGAGAAGGGCAGATGACCCAGCTGGCGCATCAAATTCACGCCAACTCTGGCATCCTGCAGCAGAACCTCGGGATCACTCCAATCGCGGACGGGGGGAGTGCTGAAACCGCAGCCCGGCGGATCGAAGGCTATCGCGGTAAACCTAAAGCGGGGAGGGGGGGAAGGCGGACAGAAGTACATTTGAGAGGTGGAGTGATTGTTCATCACAGACGGTACGACTACTCTACACATGTGTTTGTGTGTCCTCCAAACGAGATACGCGTTAGATGCACTGGACCAACACGGGAGCCATATTGGATTCTGGCAGGCGTTATCGGATCGCACACTATAACAAATGACAACACTTTCGGGGTGCGTTGGCAGACCCTGTTGTGGGGCACACGTTGGACATTGTCGAAATCGACGGTCGAACTGTCGTCACACAAAGGAATGTGTGAGTTCCCTGTTCACGCCTTCTTTGTGATAATTGGCCACCCATCAGCCCATGACAGTCCACCCCTGCCATATACCCGACCGTTTCCACAAGCCTTCTCCCTTCTGCTGTTTCTCGTACTCAGTACACCTCCTATTTTCAACATTGTAGTTTGCCTTGGAGGCTGACAGAGGATAATCAGGCATGGAGACTACCACACGTCACACTACGCTAAACGAAGGACCTGCTTTCATAATCTGGCTTCGTACCTCTGCCCCGGTGGACTTCCGGCATAATGACTCAACTGCTATTTGAAAACCCTGGGACTGTGCACATACTCTCAAACAGATGGTTGTAGAGAGCAATTTTAACGTCTTCTTCTGCCCTTTCTCCGTTTTCAGATCGAGAGTCTCGTAAACCGTGCCTGCTCCCACCTCGCTGTGGAGCACAGGGTGGACTTCGTCGAATGCGACGGTCGAACTGTCATAAGAGTAGTACCTCTCAGTCGATGACTGAATGGTTACCCCGTCCCCGAAGAATGGTGCTCTAGGCTACATGCAGGGCTGCGTCTCACATATGTGGGCTTTAGAGATTGTATCGACTAGCGCTTCATTCTACTTCCCCCGAGGTAACTAACTACTGTCGGTTTTCATGACCACGTTGGTTCGTTCCGGTAAGAAAATTGGACATACTTTTCTATTTATCTCCTTATCAAAACACAAACAGTATAAGTCTAACAGAGCTGCCAAGGGCTACAGGCCGATACTCAGATGATATTTAGAGTGAGAGAGTGAGAGAGAGAAATTCGTTTTATAAAATTATAAATTCAACATTTTCGTCAGAAATGGGCTTCATTCACTATGGGCAGCAAATTGTTAATAGGTTAGTCGAGAGTCAGCATGTTTAACACAAAAAGAATGATTACTATGGGAACAGTTCAAGTCTTGGCTTCTGTACTTCCATCTCTTCACACGTAAGATAGGGCGTCAGGAATGCCAATACAGAATCTCGATATGCCGATGTGCGACAAGACATAAGTCGGAAGCCGTGGCGCATCGGGCGTGAAGACTTCGCAGAAAAAAGATCAGAATGCAAGCGTTGTGCTGCGCCAACCAGAATTAGACCAGCCAATTTCTTGACCGTTTTAAAATGTCCTCGTATGATAGTATCGACTAAAAAGACATAAGAAACACTGGAGACAGTAGAGAGCATTCGGTGGACTCGTTTTAAAATTAACATATATTTTTTAAGCAAAGCTGGAAAAATGACTGGAGAGCCATATAGAATAAGAGGCAGGATGCAGGCATCTATGAATCGTCATATTACGGGTTGAGGTGTGTGGTAGGAACGTAAACAACGAATTTTAGTAAATAGGGTCTCAATATGGAAGGAAAATGAAAGATTTGATGACAAACTAACGCCAAGGCACCTGAAAGAGGACGCCTCGTTAGGAAGGATGTTAAGGGAGTCAGGACTAGGAGATGGCTGCAGTTGGAAAATACACTGGACTGATTTTTGGTTGTTCATTAAGAGACCATTTTCCTCCGACCATACTAGGACATAGTCAAGGCCATCCTTCAGAGATTGGAGATGTGGCCGGTTTTTAAGAGGGTGTCGAACAGCCACATCATCAGCCTGCTTAGAGTCGTTAGGGAGTCTTATATCATCGGTGTGGAGGGAGTAAAGGTGAGTGGATAGAATGGGACCTTGAAGAACTCCTCAGTCATTGGGAAGGACCGTAGATTCCCGCTTGTCAGATTGGACAAATTGAGTGTGGGAAGTAAAATAATCGCTAAGCCAAGAGACGACCCAGCCTAGAGAGCCGCACGCGATGTTTCGTTAAGGAGGAGAGGGCGCGGGACGGTAGTGAAAACGGAGGAGTAGTCAGGAAAAGCAACCCTTACCTAATTCTCTTAGGGCAGAGTGGACTGCAAGAGCAATAGCATCCACAGTGCTGCGTTTGGCTTATATGCAAATTGTAGCGGATAGAAAAATCTGGAAGTGTATGGACGTATTATATCTAGGGCAACTATTTCAGCGAACTTTAGTATTGCGGAAGAGCCGGCAACTGGACGAAAAGAGTAGGGACCAAAATTAGCGGGTTTTTTTAGGGATGGGAGTGATTCTCACTGTACGCCAGGCGTCAGGATTACGCCAGTATTACGATTGCGATTGAGCTAGATTCCAAGGGGAGGTAGATTTAGAACAGGGGAATCGGTATCCTCTCTGAAACTAGCACTTTGCCATCTGTTACGTGGATGAGGGCGTGGGGAAGGGGGAGGGGTAGGGGTGTGCCTATTCCCGTGTCCCAACTCTCAAAAGTACAGATTTGGTCTGAAATGTAGTGCCTATCGTCGACAGTGCCCTTGGCGTCAACCTCCCTGCGTATCAGAAGGCATCTTGCTGGTCACTGCTGAGCATGCGCACGAGTACACCCTCATCACTGTTGAAGCAACGGAAGTTCTAGGAATTCAATGCTAACTTTGGCAACGCCAATTGCGATTCACGTGAAATGCTTCCACAGATGTATGGCCGAAAGGCGTCCTACATAACCAGCATGCCTGGTCTCCAATGCCCTTTTTCCGATAGGTATTACATGTCTGCATATACGATTCGTTTCACAAGGAGAAATTAATGGAGCATGAGGCGCCTGCTTCAGACAGAATTGAAGCGATGGTCGATTTACTTGTGGAAGCGAATAAATGTCTTTTGTGCCACAATAGTATTTGCCTGAGAAGTCGA